TACTTTGTCACTTTTACTTGAGTAAAGAGGTCAAGTTGATACTTCAACTTTTAGTGTTTTTAAACTGCAGTATCTATACTTCTACTTCACTAACAAATGTGTGTACTTTAGACACCACTGATGGTGCCTTCACCCTCAAAGTGATCCCAGCAAGCAGAGCGAGCGATTTACTCTGTATCCCTATTTAGAGCCATGTTTAGAACCGAAGCAATACAAAGTGATGGAACTGATGCACCTAATGAGATGGAAACAATTATGGCAATTAGACCAAAGCAACAAAAACACAACACCTCTTTAGAGGGTTTTTGGTTGGATTTCAAAAAATAAATGTTATTTAGCCCTTAGAAGTATTGTTAAATGATAAAGCGACAGCCCCTGAATGTGGTGACCAACGTTTTTTATTTTCATTACACTGACACAGTACAGAGAGCAACGCAATTAACTCTGTGCATTTAACACATCCCCTTGGGGAGCAGTTGGCTGCCATTGTGCAGCGGTGTGGGGATAAGGGTCTTGCTCAGGATCCTTCAAACTCAGAACCTATTTGAATCCAGATTTGTGCATGCACAAAGCTTCCCCTAATTCAGACCTAGATTGCAAAAAAAAATGCAAAATGGCATCAACAAACACAAAAAGTTAGTTGTATTCCACCTGGTAATACAGGAAATAGTATTTCAGGGTCTAAATTTTAAAAATTTTGCGGGGAAGGCTATCCCCAAACCTCTACGCCGTGCAAAACCTAAAGATGGGACACACCAAGGTCTATATCCAATGACATATTCCCTGCTATATGCCTGGTCTCAGCAATACCAAAGCCTCAAACAACTACTTATGTGTTTTTTTGCTACATCAGTATAGCCTGATGATTTTTTTTTAAACAATCACATAAACATAGAATATCAATGATACCAATGATGCAGTTATTCTGGGTTAATGGGGACATTTCAATTTACTCCAGTCTGTTAATGCAAAGGATGGGGATATTTTCGACTGGGACTATAAAACCTAACATTTCCCTTCAGTTCAAAATCTTTTCAAACTTTTATGTTGTTACACTAGCAGCCATTTAAAATGGCCCTTCCCAGTCAAACGCCAGCCGAATGGCAGCCCACTTTCAGCCACTGGAGTGACCCCATCTTTCTCCTGGGCGTGCATATTTTTTTACTCTGATTCCACTCTTTCACTGAATTACAGGGTCTGACCAGTAGATGGCGCTTCTCTTTAGATCTTAATGTCCACAAATCATGACAGAAAGAATATTTTGTGCAAAGGTTGAAAAAAAAAAAAACTTAATATCTGTTTTTTTTTGTTTTGTTTTGTTTTAATTTCAAATTAAAAACATGTTTTTGTGAAAAAATCTTTGACCCCATTGGAGCCATGAAGTTAAAAAACTTCTGTTTTGAAACTTGCAAAGTATCTGGATGTGTCTCGATGTCTTGCAGTGTTATTTCTTCACCGTGGAGTTTGGCCTGTGTAAGGAGGATGGAGGGCTGAGAGCCTATGGAGCTGGACTCCTGTCCTCTGTTAGTGAACTCAAGGTAACACTCAGCTTTAGCCTTTAATATCATGCTACTGTCAAAACATGGTTCTTATAAAGACTTTTTTTACCTGTACTTTATACCATAAAGACTTTCAGACAGTTACTAAATAACTGATCACACCATCAGTGTAAAATCAAACCTTTCCTGTGTCAGCATGCTCTGTCAGGCAGGGCCAACATCCTCCCCTTTGACCCCGTGGTGACCTGCAACCAGGAGTGCATGATAACCACGTTCCAAGATGTCTACTTTGTGGCAGAAAGTTTTGAGGAAGCCAAGAACAAAATGCGGTGAGTAAGGGAAAACTGGGTGGAAGGAAAAAACCTAATGGTTTCATTGAACGTGTGAAAAGTGTGCTGTCTGATTTATATTTAGCAGCAGTTACAGCTGGAAGCTTTGGGGCCTTTTCTTTATCACCTTCCATCATCTACAGGTTGAAGTTGGGTTAAAGGGGTCATAGAATGCAAAACCGAGTTTCAATTTCAATTCAGTTTATTTCTATAGCGCCAATTCACAACGCATGTCATCTCAAGGCACTTTACAGTTCACCAGATCATCCAGTCAGATTGATTCAAAGTTTTCTATCTAAGGATAACAAGTTGATTGCATCGAAGAGTACATTTATATAAATGTTTAAGACAGAATGATTTGAAATTTAAATATGATTTCCCTATGAGTTTAAAATCTGTCCATAACTTTAAAGTTATCTTGTACGTAGACAGACAGACACATAAACTCCTAAAAACATAACCTTGGTGGAAACAATGTAGAGCCCCATGGCAGATCTTCTGCTATCTAGTGGTTAAAAAGATAAATTCATTCCAGAGGTGATGACCATACAGGTGCTGGTCATACGATTAGAATGAAAAGTGGATTTATTTCAGTAATTCTGTTCAAAAAGTGTAATTTTTATTATTTGTTATTCTTTTTTTTATTTATTTAATTTCTTTGGAGTATGTTTGGCTCAACCTGCTGCTGTGAAGCAGGATTCTCCACCATGAACAGAATCAAAAATAAATATGGATCCAGGCTCAAAATGAGCACCTTGATATGAGCTTTAGAATGGCTTAGTCTCCATTAAACCCAGGTTTGAAGCCTTGCAGGGCAGCATAAAGCCCACTGCCAACATTAAGACAGAAGAAAAAGGTCAGTTCAGGCGTTTTATAAAATATGTGAATCAGGAAATTGTCTATATACCAAACTGAACGATTATTTTTCTCCACTTCAAAAAACATTTTAGATATTAAAATGGAAAAAATGTATTTAAAATTTCAATGTATAACATGGATGCATAAACACCTCTTTTTATTTCAGTGTTAAATTCTGTTTAAAGTAACAGATTATAATTAAAAATGTCTCCGGACCTTTACTGGTTGATGAATTTTATTGGTTATCCCTGCTCTATTTAGTAGTCACCGTCTGACTTTGTTAGTATTTCTTCAGTGCTGCCAGCAGAGGGCGCCACATCTGTTTTTTTTAAATACTTAATTTTTTCATTTTACATACATTGAACAAATGAACAGTTTTACCCCCTTCCAACAAAAATTACAGAGCTGCTAGTTTGACAGGAGCAGTTGCATAATAATAATTAAAAAAGTAATTACATTACTTGTACAGTAGATGTCAGGTTCTGATGAGCGTTCAATTTTTTCCACTATTTATTGTATTTATAAGTGGCAAGACCTAATGAGAAAGTCATCCTCTCCATTGTGTGAATTTCCAAAATGATGTCCTTCAAGTCAAAACATGATGGTGGTTCCACATCGAGCCATCTGAGTGTTATAGCTTTCTTTGCACCTTCTATTGATATTAATAAGAGATATCTATTGGGTTTCCTCAGATCTTGGGGTAAGTTACCCAGAAAAACCTTAATAAAATCACAGCGCATATCTTAATCCATTATAGAATTGACTTATTTTATCACTCCTGACCAGTAAGGTGCAATCTCAGAACATTCCCAGAAGATATGAAAATCACTCCCATAGTTCCCCCATTTTGCCCTCTCGGTGTCCTTACAATGTTTACTTTTAATGTTAAGTGTATAACGTCTGTTTATATGAGCTCATCGTGCCCCGTGCTGGAATTCCTTTCAGTCTAAAAAACAATATGTTTTCTTTTTTTCTATAATATATAACGTAACTATGCACCTTACCGAGTTTACATTGTCACAGATGAATAACGAAAGTTCAGTGGGTGAAATGGACGTACAGAGAAGTTCAAACCCCATCTGCACCTCCTTTCTCTGCATATCTCACAATTCTAAACTTCTATCATAAAACTGGAGAATCCAAACGAAGCCCGGAGTTGACGTAAACTCAGGGATGTTGCCTTATTTAGTTCTGGAATGTACTTTTGTCACGCCAGGAAATTGACACACAGAGCACTGGTTCACGAACCAAGAACATGAAGAGAGGTAGATGTAAGACACCAGTTTAACTGTTTATTCTACAGTTGGGTTTACTTCTAAAAGAATCACAAAGCAGGCAGTTTCTCTATTGAAAATGAACCAGAAGGTGGCTGGGCCTTCTAACTGGACTGGTCCAGGAACCCCGGCAGACAGGAACTGAGCGGCCGAACTCGACCCGGTACACGGGGCCACCAGTGGTCGCTCCATCCGGTCCCGACCAGCCCCAGAGCTCACGGCTTGGTTCTGCTGCACTGTAGTCGACCAAAATCCCGGACGATTTTGAAATTCCCCCCCCGACTTTCTTTTAGGAATGAAAAGTAGGACATGTCCAGGAAAAAAGATGATACCTGGTCACCCTACCATATCAACAGTTTTGTGTTTCAGTGAGTGAGTGCTTGTTGCTATGATGCGTCTTTGCTCAGCAGCTTCGTTCGTTGTAAACCAACCAATCAGCGCACAGCTCATCTAAATATTCATGAGCCTACCATAACAGGAAGAAAACCTGTCATTTCATTCTAGGGCTTTTAACCAGGCTTGAATTAGGGCTCATAGAACAGCAAAGATGCCATTTTCAGCCCAACCAATGTTACACACCCTATTCAGAGACCTTAAGTACCAGAACCAAATACCCTATAGCAGTGGTCTCCAACCCTGGTCCTCAAGATCTACTGTCCTACAGATTTTAGATGCATCCCTGCGTCAACACAGCTGAATCAAATGAATGGCTTGAAAAGGTAATCATTCATTTGATTCAGCTGTGTTGAAGCAGGGATGCATCTAAAATCTGTAGGACAGTAGATCTTGAGGACCAGGGTTGGAGACCACTGCCCTATAGCATCGTTCTGTGACCCATTTAAACCTAACTGATTAAATGCATAACTATGCTTGCCCTGCAGGGAGTTTGCAAAGACCCTTAAACGCCCGTTTACGGTGAACTACAACCCCTACACCCAGAGCGTGGACGTTCTGAGGGACACCTCCAACATCAACAACATGGTGAAAGACATCCGACATGAGCTGGACATCGTTGAAGATGCCCTGCGTCGTCTCGGAAAACTCAGGAGTGACTAAAGGGTCAACAAAGCCTGATGGGGAACGCTGCAGAACTGTTCTAATCTAAAACTGATCCTGCTCTTTCTCTGTTTCTTGTTTTTTTGCTTGTGGATACCATAATGCACATGCTCCTTTGGTGTTTGGTAAAATGTGATAAGAGGTGTTACAAGTGGAAACGTCTGTAGTTTGATGGTGAACGTGTTTGTGGGTCTACTTACTAAAGGATTTAACTTGTTTTTTTCTAGCGTACGTTTTGTTCTCACCAGCTGGCTGAATAGTCAAAAGAAAAAGTGTTACCTTCCATTCATTTATACTCAAAGTTTATGTTATAAATGTTCATTTAAAGAAAAAAAAACTGAAACAGACCTGTGGCGTCAGAATTTAACTTAGAAAGTAGGAAAGAAAAGTGGGAAAACGTTGCAATTCCAAAATCCAAAATAGAGATTTTCTTTATTTACTCAGTTTTTAATCATTTTTATGTCATAAATTGATTATTCCTGTACCAAACTGACTAGACGGTTCACTTGGCTTATTAACTGTATGATTAAGCTCTGACCTGAAGGCCACATTACCAATGAGTCTTCCTGGTAAACTATTAAAACACCAAAGGTACATGTACCTTAAACAAGGAACTACAGTAGAGCTTACACGGAAAAAAAATAAATCGAATACTAGATAAGTTCATTAGTTCTTGAATTGAGGAGATAAAAGAGACATTTTGTCAATGTAACAAGACAATTTACATTTAAAATAAGAAAAAAAACATTTCAGTGTCTTATTTCAGTTTCATATTATATAATTGTCTTATTTTAAGAGTAAAAATATTCATTCCATTGGCAAACTACCTTATTTACCTACTCAAATCAAGGGTAAATACACTTAATCTAATAAATGTGTACTTTTTTCTAGACCATTTTTCCTGTGTAGATGACAACTTTACTTCCCTATTTTTATTTTAAACTGAGATTCTACTAAACTCTTTTCAGGGGAAACTCTGAGCAATAGAATATAGGCTTCTTGTTTTGGAGTTTGCTGAAACAATCTGAGTCAGATTCCAAGAAACCCTTTTAAAAGTAGAACTTATGGCGCCACAGAACTGTGACACAGTTCATATGAAGATGTCAAATGGGCCCAAACAGACCCCACTGACAGAAGCCATCAGCATTTAAAGTATAACTACGAAGGTTTATTGTTGCAGTTGATTTATATAGCAACGATAAACAGCACGTCATCTCAAGGCACGTTACAGAGACAATTCGACCAGATCATCCAGTCAGATTGATTCAAAGTTTTCAATCTGAGGAAAACCAGTTGATTGCATCGACTCATTGACTCGAAAGCCATCCCTCCCACTAAGCATGCATGTAGCGACTGTGGAGAGGAAAAACTCCCTTTTAACAGGAAGAAACCTCCAGCAGAACCAGGCTCAGTGTGAGCGGCCATCTGCTGAGGCCGACTGGGGTTCAAGGAGACAGAAGCAGAGATACAAAAAGCAGCTGTAAAAGGCGTCCAGGAAACACGCAGCCAGGCAGACGAACTCCAAGCCAGTTCCCATGTCAGAGGATGATGATAGCACACCCAGCCAGTCACAGTGAGAGAAACAGGACTACACTGAAAAACAGGCCAATCTCCAACATCTATAAAGACAGGTTTTAATGGGAGCAGCACAGCTGATATTTATATTTTTTCAAAAAAGTAATGCTTTAAGCCTTGTCTTAATAGTACTTAATAGTGCGTCTGCCTCAAAGACTTCAGCTGGTTCCACAGGAGAAGAGCCTGAAACTAAACCTAATCACTTTGCAGTGATTTAATGAATTTAGCGTTAATCTGTAAAAAAAATAAAAAAACAATAATTTTTGTTGCGATCACTGAGTTCGGGACTGTTTTTTTTTCCCCCAGACATAGTAACACCTCACTCCCGACATCTTCCGGCAGTGACATCACGGAGAGTAAGCCTACAGTGTTGCGATTCCTGATCCTCCACGGACAGGTTCATCGTTGGATTGCCAACTTGAAGAGGGAGGATTTGCTATCGAACTTCTGGCCAGAGAAAAAACATAAACAACAAAACTTAATATGTAGCCAACATTTGGAATAGGTGTTCTTTGACAAACATGGATACCTCCAGTAAAGCACATTCAGATGAAAATTACTCTTAATTAAAACACTTTTATTCATTTATTGAACAGTGTGTAATAAGTTTATCTTTAAAGTACTTTCAGAAATTATAATTCTGAATTTGACCGGACATTTCCTCTAAATGTGACTAGTTACTACCTTGCTCTGCCCCAATCTAACTCCATAGACAAACACTATATAGAAATATAATGAAAATGAACCCAAAGAGGGAAATAACCTCTCATGTTAGAAAAAAGCAGAATAATTCCACATCAGAGGCCTCATTCTCACAGATGGTAAATCTTAAGACGGAGTATTAGGGACAAGTTAGAGATTCTTTTTTTGGTTTTTATTTTAAGAATAAAGTAGTAACATTACGAGAAAATAAGTTGTAACATTTT